CAGTTCCCATAAATCCTGGACATTTTTCGATTTTCCATATATGACAGGGAATTGAGTGTTATAAATTATAGAAATGCACTATCTTCGATGGAAGTAATGTAATAAAGAACTTAAAAACATTATAAAGAAAGATCAAACACCACGAAGAAATCCAAACAGGCAGACCAACTAATCAAACTCATCAGATATTCCCCGATATCCGCAACGCAAAACATGGCCCAAGTGATTGCCGATCAACGCGTGGTGCTTTGCCTGTGATGAAATTCAAAAAAGCTGTGCGAACTAGTGTAGATCATAGTTGTTCTTCAGAATCTCATAACCATTTTAACTCCCTGGTCCATGATTTGATATTTGAAAATAACGGCCTAAAAACTCTAACAAGACAATATCCCAAGGCTTTGGCTTTTTATGCTAAAAAGATAAACAGTTGGCTTCAAATCACCGGGAGATTCCAGAAAAAAAAGGGTTTCCTAGAGTTGTATAATGTAGGTTTAGTGTTGCAAGAAGTACATAACCATATGTACTTCTGGTGTTGCACAAGGCACTTCAATGTTAGTTAACTTATGGCTGCTACTCGAGTCTCTACAGCGCGCGCGATAGTGGAATATATTATGACGATCCCGCGAGCAATGAACGTAATCGACATGGAAAGACTTTTATAATTTCAAAATAACATTTTTTAAAACCTCTGATAAGTGCGCTTCTTCCTGWCAGATTCTAAGCCTCATTCTCGTGTGGTAAAATCATGAATTATCAACTGAGCCGATCATCACGTGACAAAATCCAGACATTTTTCTAAGAATTTTTTTAAAAACATCGGGATGCACGAATATAGAACTTAATAAAGATGTTATGTTGTGTTATTAGGTATTGAAATAAAACTMATTTAAATCAGCCTTATATCTGTTATATTTCTCATTTTATCGACGAGTTCAAGAAGTACGTGCATTTTTATACAGTAAAAGGAAGCCCGAGTAAGACAAGTTGATGGGCTACCTGTCTTATAAAGACAGGAAGTCGATCGATACAAAGGTTTGATTCTGCCTAGAAGTGGGGCTTGTCGATGAACATTTTCTTCGTATTTCTTCGTATTTCGCGTTCTTGTTCATCAACTCTGACTATCTGACCTCATATAAGCTGAATAAAGCATGGAATCTTCCAACTGGCAGACTCAACTGTCAACTGTCAGAGAACGTACTCAATACGCGTTCAAAAAGTCCTTGTTCTGCGATGTGAAGTTCACCGTGGTAGATTCGGTTAATGGTGGTAAAGTCACTGTTCCAGCCAACAAGTACATGCTAGCTGTTAGCAGTCCTGTCTTTGAAGCCATGTTTTACGGTGATTTGAAAGTAAAGAAGGACACCATCGACCTACCAGACTGCACCAAGGAGGGTCTACAAGAATTGCTTCGCTTTGTGCATTCTGATGAAGTGAACTTGACAGGAAACAACGTGATGGAAGTACTTTACATTGCAGACAAATACATCATGCCATTTCTTGC